AAATGATGAAATGAAGTTAATGTATTTGTTGAGGTACTGCACTGGAGTTGCTTCAAGACCTATACAGTGCTGTAAGGTTGTGCCCCCAAACGAAGGATATACTCAGGCGATGCGTATCCTGCGTCAAAGGTTTATTAGACCTTCGATGATTGTGAGAAATGTATTCGAGGCTGTTAAAGGTAATGGTGGTCAACTACTGGATGGCTCCAAGGCACTCACTGAGTTTTTGGATAATCTGATGACTTATAAGAATACGTTGATTTCGATGAATTGCATGAGTGACCTATACTGGAGTTACGTCCTAGAGGTACTAGCGAGATGCGTACCTACTCGACTGCAAAGGAAGTGGGTGAAGACAAGCTCTCGTAGAGAGGATGAAGGTATTATAATAACAATATATATTTTCATATAAACGTGTAAATGCATGCCAGTTTTACAGGCACGATCAAGTATGATATAATCTGAAGTCGTAGATTGTTTACAAGTTAGTAATGTTTCAACAGTTAAATATTTGATAGACATGTGAATACACTCATTGTCTGAACCAGGTGGTATAGTTATTGAGTTGTACAGTTGTCCTCCAGGTTGCGCTGGAAAATCGACCTCGTTTCGTTTACAACCCGCCTCGAGTTTTTTGAAAAGTAATTGAGAGGAGTTACTGCATCATATATTTTCTCCTGGAGTACATCTCCTCCTGCAATTTGAGAGGCGTCGGTGCATAAAATCGGAGATGCCTTTTGGTTGATTTAGGAAAGCATCACAACCTTGCATGACGCTTCTTAATGTTAACGAATGCTTCTTTCGCTTGTTCCGACGGTTGAAACTTTTTTGGATCACATTTTAGACAGGGACGGCGTGAGGTCCACAGTAGTAACAGCTGAACATTGACAGTTTCTGTGAGTTCGCTTACATTATCTCTGAAACCATCGGAGACTAGTGTGTATCCCAAACATGACTTTTAGATGGATTAGCCAGAATGCTTTCTTAACAGAAACCCCTGAACAGTTTCAAAAGACGTTCATACGCCGTCCAGCTGGTGTTATGATTTCAACAGTTGATAGTTTAAAGGGTGACCGCATCTCTGGTTTTAATACGAATGACTTCCTCAACTGTCTCTAGTCCTTGGAACCTAGCGAGATTTATGGTCGAGATGGTGCACCCGACACAATAATATCACTGGTATTTTCAGTGAATCATCTTCTAGCGTGATTGTGCCTTCCTCTTTGAAGGATAACGACATTTTAATTCTGCCAAAGTCATCAAGCGTTAAGTTCATACCAAATCCTATAACTTCGTCTGTTTTAGAGATGATGGAAGGACTGCTCTTACTTCAACTTCAGCCTTCAGTGGGGGCTTTTAATGGCCCTAATCATTTTGCATATAAGTATAGTAGGTGTACTTTCGATTCCTCTGCCGTCTTATATCACGGTGCCAAGGTGCCAATTATATCCCGTGTGCCTTCATTGGCTACATATCAGCCTTTGACTCTCTACTTAGGCCTCCTTTGTTGAAGAAGCTTGATGCAACATGCTCAGGGTGCTGGAATAACACGGTTGAAATCTTTCCGTTCTGATTGATGGTAATAGGCTGTTAACAGTGGGAAATCATCCACTGCCACACTTAATGCAGCCAGTGTTCCTCGAGATGCTATTCTTTCTTCTTACACGGCTTGTCCCAATCTGATGAAGGCAGTTTTTTTAAGTATGTCAATGATCTGACTGTTTCCATGCCTGTCACGTCTTAGTCGAATTGTTCCAAAATGAATAACCTCTTAATAGAACTAGCCACTGGTCCCTGTCAAACGGTATTAAGATGAGTCCCTTCAAGTGCCAGACTGCTAAGTTCACGTTCACAAACAAAAGTAATTCGCGTGAATTGATTGGTTCCCAGATTTCGAATATCGGAGCCAGCACTGTGGCTGAAACTAAGTTGAATGTTAAGTACTTTGAATTATATATTCCCTGTGATCTGTCTTGGTCTATGCGAATCATGTAAATTTCTCGAAAGCTATTTCTTTCAAGGAAGTTGAAACAATATGGTCAACCTTGGTCTTAAAGTTCGCAGGTTTTTAATTCTTGTACCCAACCTAATCCTCTTTACTGCTGCTTCTTAATCTCTCCAGGGCTGATCAAGAAAGGATTAGTCAAACTGCCAATGGCTCTAAAAGGCACCGTTAAGGCAAGTGGGTTTCGGTAAACCAAGTTAATAATGCTGTCAAAGGTTAACACTTGAACTCATTCAAAGAACTGACGATCGTTGTCCTATCCTGTCCCATATTTTATTTATTTTCATTTTTTATTTTTGATTACAGCTTGATTCCACATCGTATTTTTGGTAGAAGTATGGAATTTTTCAGCATGGATATCGGTAGCCCAAATTTTTCAGGGCGACCGTAGATATCAGATGTGCGTCGGAAGGGGATCGAACCTCTGACCATGTGCATGGTCAGCGAAGGTCCTAACCACTGTGCCACCGACGCACAGTTTCGCTGTACAGAAATCAACCTTGACGTCTCATCAGGCAGCGTCAGAAGCAGATCTAAAAGGCTTCATGCCTGAGAGACTAAGTTTAAACCTCTACTTTTAACTGATATGATGCGTATTTTATAAGACAACAGAAGCGTAAAGCAGGACACAACTGAATTATAGTGATATACGAAATAAACAGCCATCTTGTCTCTTTGATTATTATTCTGTTGTTAATATTTTAACTTTCTATTCATAATCTGACTGCATAATATCACCAGCGTGAAATTCCCTGGTTAATTGTTACCTGTACAATAAGGAAATCGGATGCAAGTGTACAGTCTGGATAGGAACAAAGTCTCAGCAACTTCTCCAGGTACCAGATAAGAGCTGAATTTGTCCACAGATTGGGCCAATGCTACCTACTGAACACATAACACATGTCAGGGCATCTCAGTGGACGTACTTTGTTTCTCGGATGCAGTCTATAAAAGGTGATTTGGAAATTTCCCATAGTACTTAGTCGAAGGCACGTTTATTTGAGCTGGTTGAAGATGGATTCTCATGGTAGATGAGCAGAAATTTATGGGCTATTCAATTTATTGTGTGACTGGAATCAGGAATGTATCCGACTTAATGTTCACGAAAGCTTCCCACCTCATCTTAGACAGAGTAATTCCTACCCAAACATGTTTGACGCTTCACTTGTAAGATAGGCTAGGGGGTTCAATTGTATCAATCATAGTGGTTGACTTTGGAGAATCGCATTTAGAATTCAGTATGAGATTTTCAGTATTGGCCTAGATAAACCCGGTGGATATCGAATCATAGGGTAGTTAGTACGTAATAATGAGTGCCTTAGTCGATAGGGCATAACAGTCCATTCTAGGTCCATTTTACACTGTTGTATGACAAATAGTGATTGCCTTAGTTTTCTAACGAAATTTGAGGCCGTAAAAACGGAAATTTTGGTGACTTACTAATGAGATTATCATGGCTGTAGCTTCTGTGTGTTAACTTACGGTTACTTGCAGGATGGATGGCTGTTTATTTTGTCAAGCCAAATAGCGTACTGTATGACCAATTTCACCGGTAAAACGATCTTTTTAGAGGGAACCATAGAACAATAAAACACACCTAATTTCAGCCCTCTAATGATATCACAAAGAAACTATGTGTAACCACTGAATTCATTACTCCGTAAGATTGTATTAAACGTTCCCCAATACAATGTTATCAAAATAAAAATTTTCGCACAAAGTGGTAAAAGTACGGCCAATGGCTCACAGAATGCCGTAAATATTTTTACACGTTAATAGTACTGGAGTTGTTTTAATCTGTCAATTGTTAAATACTAGCGTTGCAATGCTTTGTTCAACCTATGTTTGATTGGCGGTATGTCTAAATGTCTTTTTTTATTAGCAAGCATATAGTGTTTTTGTGTAAATTTTTGTTTATTGTTAGTTATGCTGGCAAATAACGACACGTGAAAACTTCAATCGAGGAATTCTCTGACTTCACCGAATCCGTATAGGTTAACTTTTGGGTTAAGTTAATTTGCAAACGTCACCTGCAAATTTTATCCTTGATTTTTTCCACCAAAAATAACTCAAATGTCACTGTCAATTTTATTAATAATTAATCACATTTGTGAAGTTTCCAAATTGTTAAGTGTTGTGCTTGTTTGGTGTTTCTTCGAGGCTGTCTACGCGAAATATTGCAAATCACTTGTGCCTGGCTGTCTAAAAGTTGTCTTTAAAGTATTGTGCAGTTTTCTTTAAAACGGTCGGAGTACTAGAGAAGCGATGAAATTTTCAATATTTTTAATGCGCAAACCGAAATATCACACACATGCCTATCGATGCAACGACTGAATTACGACTTCGTGCAGTTTTAGTGTAATTTGTGCCTACATAAGATATAAATTTCATTCTTTGTCAAGGCTTTGCATACTTGATTTTTAGTCTTATGGAAATCTAGCAGTATTAATATTTATTCACACAAAACTCACATTGATTCGCGATCAATATTACTTTCCTAGATGACCTCTCTCTTGAAAAGTAAAATGTAGCATTCACAGGACAACTTATGAGTTATAGTCCGTCTCCTTACGTTTTATTTTTGAAAATCTTATGTTTGTCTCTACACCTGGGAAGCAGTGGATTCTAAGTCCGATGTGTATCTCGAGCATATAAATAGACCCGATTACAAAGTTAAAAAATAAGTCGAGAATATATATATATATATATATATTCAGGAAGTGAAGTTAGGAGCCTAGAAATAGCTAAAAAGTGTATGTCAAGGCGGCCAGTATAAGAAGCTTACTTATCTTTGAAGTCACGCCTTTTTCACCACTTAGGTTTTGACTGGATATTTCCTACCACTCATATTATAATTTCATATTATCAAAAACCAGATAATATATAGCCTTTTCAAAATCTCTTTCCCTGAGTTAAGAAGTCACTTCCTCCTTTTATTCATAGTTCAGCGATCTCTGTTGTCTATAATCATGTAAATAATTCACCAAAAAGACATCTAAAGAAATAATCATAGCTGTTCGAACTAAATTCGTCAGGTCATTTGTCAGACAGCTAGGTTGTGCATACGAAATTCGGTGCTTATACGCCTACTTGGTTTTGAGATGATATTATTTATTCATATCATTTTCCGTAGTTTATTTCTGTGTCATTTCGCGATGTTTGATGCTATACCAGTAAAAACCTAATATCAATAGAATTCCTTCCGAAAAAATTCCTGAATCTGTTTATTTGCAATTTTCAAGTAATTTTTATCGTGCTTATGTCTAGACTAGTTACTGCATTTTAGTCTTTGAAATAAATTCCAGATACTTTTTGTCAAATTAAGAGGTGTAATTATTGAATAATGCCGGAGAAGGATAGACGTAAATCTGGGGTCCACAAACAGCGTAGGTAAGTCTGCAGCATAATACGAAGTATGTTTTTAGAAAACAGTCGGACGATGTCACAATACTGAATGGAAAAACATTGCTTCGGTCAGCTAAGAAATTAAGTCCTGCAAAAGTTGTTACTCCACCGATCGCAAGTAGGCTGAGAAGCGCCAATCGACGGTTCAAAGTACCAGATATAAAAGAAGAATTAACAACTATTCAGCCTAAACAAAAAACAGGAAAGCCCATTGCACTTGAAAGTCGACCCATAACGAATGGTGTACACCTTAAAGACGTGGTAGATTGTGACATGCAAGAAGCACTAAATCACAGCTCACTCAATGGTTTTTCCCAAAATAGTAGCGGAAACAGCGAAACAACTAAAGCTCCTAGTGTAGAACCAGTACGCAGTTCTCGTTTTTGTACAGTTATGTAGGCCGAACAAACTGTTGTTTTTGCTTTATTTTAATATGTAAACAATTTCAATGTTCCTTACTTCTTATTTATAATTTTCTACTTTCATTTCCTAATAAAAATTAATATTTCTGTATGGAAGTTCTCTATGATATGTAAATAAAAGAGAACTGTATTTTTCATTACTGACTTCTCATAACAACGGAAGCTTTGCCAGTGTAACAATGACTAGCAGGTCATCAAATCTAACAGGTTTCGCGTTAATATGTATAGTCTAATGATGTATGCGATCGATATATGACATAAGGCATCTAACGAAAGATGATCGGCGTTCCAGATATCCACGCTGTCATAAGAATCTTTAGTCGGTTAAACGGTGAAAATGACTTATGTGTTGAATAAATTAAGAATCAGTAAATTGTATTTTTCCATGAAGTAGAATTCGATTTTACTATGAATCTATAATAGAGAATGAGCGGAAGTTTTCGGTCATTGTCAAATAGCAAGACAATACCTATGACGTCAAAAAGTCTTAGAATTAAGACCCTAAAGACAAGAAAAATAGCGGATATGTGTGAGAAATGGAGTACTGAAGCCATCGGTTACAAAAGGAACTGATCAGAGGTCGAAATAATTTGCTTATATCAAAGTGAGTCAATCTCATAATCCCAATGAAGTTGCTGTGATTCAGTTTGCAACTAGATAGATTGACGCCTGCACAACCTGAGATATCGGTGTGCAGAGTTTAACAGTGTTGTGTAATTAAATAAATGATCAATAAAACAGACGGTAAGCATTGATTTAGTTTTCTCAACGAGTTACACGTAGAAGTATGTCTAACTTATGGATAGGGAGTTCTACGACAGACTGGGCTGTTCTTGTTTAACATATTATTGAGAATTATTCCACATTTTAAAATTTTTCTCGAAACAATTAATATTAATGCTTCTCGCATTTTCTCATTTTTTCGTATGTTGGCTGCTTACCCTGGAGCTTGAAGCTTGACTATTATACCCTGTTAGCTTCATAAAACTGGAGCAGATGACTAGCAAATATGCCACTATTGAAATATATATGCTTACTTTCCTGTTGATAATTTAAATAAATATGAAGCTCACTAAGTGTATACAGTAAGTAATCTGGAGTGGGAAGTCGTAACTACTAGAGTCCATCAAGTTAGGTAAGAGGATAGTTACCCGCCGAAGACATTGACTGGAGTTTGCACTATATATCGCAAATTGGCAGAAGTTGGTAATCACGAGTCATGTGGTTCAGGTCTTAGTTGCTGAATATGACCTACAAGCATACCTTGAAACCCAAAGGGCCTGGTTTGAAACCTGATAGGTGGGTGCGGATGAAGGGCACCAAGCGGGAACGAAACACTTGTCCAGTACACCCTGGTTTTCATACTGGTTCTCTAACCGATATCAGCGCATCATGAAATCTGTACACAATAAAATTTCTGCAGAACAACACTTGAAAGTAAATCAGGTATGTTGGTTTATTTCTATGGAAATTTACCACTGCTTAATACATACTCTTACGAAGATGAACCATGGCACATTGGTCTAGGCGCCTGATTTTCAATCACTGAATCACGAATTGAAGTTTCTCTCCAGCTACCGAGGCTTAGACAGCCAGATGTCAAAGTATCACTAGCCAGCCCACCCTCTATCCCGCAAAAGATGTGGCTCATTGCCACTGACTGCATGAAATCGCAATGAAGATGAAATTTTAGGAAAACAAAAAGCAAGTTTGTACAGATAAAATTATCATTATTCCCATTTATTAGAGGAAGTAATATATACTTGTATAGTTTAAGCATTGAAATAAGAGTAGTAGTTTTTTCCAATATTATGCTGTACATTAAAAAAGAAAATAGAAAGACAGAAGAGTTATGTAGACAATGGTGCATCAGCGAGTTCAAGATTTCTGAATTTCTCTGCATCATAAAATCCAGCTTTGACAACACGTCCAGCAAAGAATCGACCATTTAAATCAAGTACAGCTACAATCAGAACAAAAATTGTGTGAAATAAATTAAACTAAATTCTGGTTTTTAAGAAAACTTATTAGTAAACTTAGAATATTATTTTCGATAACTTCTTCTTCATCAAGTTCTACAGTTATATGTCCATAACAATTAAACAATTATTGTTATTGCTGTCTTTAAAATAACATCAAATCAATGTGAACAACAGAGATTACTGTTTAGCAGCATCTGTAAGTAATAATATGCATCAATGTAAAACTTACTCTGAGATAAATTAAGAAAAGTGATAATGAAGATTTGTAGCTTAGGTGGATGATATTGAATTAGTTGTGTTCTCTCTGAACTGGTTGATTTGATTGAGAAGCTTTCGTTGTCTCCCTTCTAGACAACATCTTCAGAGCAGGTTTTAGTATTGTTAAATGAACCTATTTGAATTCTTCATGAATGATGTAATTGTGTCTCCTTCCTGGCAATCACTGTCGTCACTGATTGTTGATTTACGTCTCTATTGATCATTTTTATTGACTTGGAATTCGAAATTTCTTGTCATGTGATTTACTTTTTATTAGCTGGTAAATTTTATTCTATGATAGTGTGTTTGTTAATTGCTGATTGATTCACTTGAGTACCAGGCTTCTGGGAATTCCCTGACACAGAGGAGACACCAAAAATGTCAGAGAATTCCTAGAAGCCTGGTACTCAAGTGAATCAATCAGCAATTAACAAACACACTATCATAGAATAAAATTTACCAGCTAATAAAAAGTAAATCACATGACAAGAAATTTCGAATTCCGAGTCAATAAAAATGATCAATAGAGACGTAAATCAACAATCAGTGACGACAGTGATTGCCAGGAAGGAGACACAATTACATCATTCATGGAGGATTCAAATAGATTCATTTGATGAATACTAAAACCTGCTCTGAAGATGTTGTCTAGAAGGGAGACAACGAAAGCTCCTCAATTAAATCAACCAGCTCAGAGAACACAACTAATTCAGTAATGAATTAATAGGTTGTATAGCAGACCAGGATAGTAATAGTAGTTGGTTGAACTTGTTTATCTTGCACAAAGAATCTCCGGTTGCTCTAAGTGAATTACTGACTTAACATCAAAAACTTGAAGTTGATCGATAAGGCTGTACTCTATTACTCTCTCAAAGTGAGACGTTTTAGAAGATTGTTCTGTCTGTTTTCGACATAGAACTTTGCACCGATGTGCGGAAGTTCAAGTCGCCACACTCCCTCCTTGTAGCACACAAAGCAAGAGAAGAAAGTAGAAATGTAAAATAGAGACAGTAAACAGAGGTGTGAGACAAAGGAATAGTAATAACGAAGAACAAAATAGTTTCATCGGAAATCATAAGTCACAAGAAGTGGATGCATCTGCCATTGAGAACGATTGTGAGCCATGTCACCAATTGTTTCCAACCATTGGTTTTTACCGTCCCGAGGACCCCAACAAGTCAGGAAGTCTACACCTTCCTACGTCGCTGGCTTAGACTAACTGTTGTAGATTTCATTGACTGCTTCCATGTTTTTGTTTGACCTCCGCTAGCTCTTTTCCAGCCTGACCCTATATCTGTTAACATAGCTCGTCGAGGAAGGCGATGACTAGGAATATGTAACACATGTCCTAACCATCTCAGTCGATGTAACTTCACAACCTCGTCGATTGATTTCCTCTCCTTACCTACAACTCGACGCCTAACCTCAATATTGCTCAACTTATTACACCACTTCACACGGGAAATACAATGCAGGCACGTATGATCAAAGACAGCTAATCTTTTCATGTCTTCCACTCTCAGTGGCCAGGTCTCACAGCCATAAAGGAGGACGGAGCGGGCTGTTACATGAAAAAAAAACCTAAATGGTTACATTAACAAAGTATACTTTTCTTTGCCAGATTGTTTACTTCAAATTTTTTCCAGAGATATGTAGCCGTTTTTTGAATAGCTAACCCGAAATTCTTTATGGACATATTTTTAGACTACATAATATGTTGTATCATTAGCAAGTTTATACTGAATGGTTAATTTCTATATTCGTATTCTATAGAAAATATATTCGAAATAATGTATACATTTAGACTAGAATGTAGCCGCTTATTCCATATTAAAATGTTTATTGTATATGTATGAGATAGTGAGACGTTATTTTAATACGGGACAATGGCATTACGAGAACACACAATGTCGGAACTTGATTTCATGATTTTCGGTTTTACTTCCGATTTCTTTGTAAAGATAGTAGAATTCTCCAAATGTTGAGTCATATCTACTGTTACATGTATTTTCAGCTAATTTGATCAATGCAGAGTCAGTTATTAATCTCTCACCAGACCCCAATTCTATGGTACGGTTATGTGTAACTGTATGTAGTGCTATAGGTGAGCAGAAAGCAGTTAAAGAAGGATTGGTAATTGAAGCTTTAGATATATAGTCAAATGCGAATGCATGCAATATTATTATTTCCATGGTTACCGAGGAGATTTGAACAACACATCTCCACATTCTTCTATTGTCTGCTGTTCTATTCGGCTGCGTCCACGATTGCCTACAATCCATCATCTCCTCGTATATTCTCGTCTACGTCACCGTCGCAACGACGACCCACTCGTCGGTTCCCACTGGGATTCCACTCCAGAGATGGCCTGCAATGTGCGCGATGTCATTCGATGGCCTCCTCAACGTACGTCTGATCCATCTCCATTTTCCCCTATATACTTGTTCAGCGATCAGCTCTTGGTTGGTTTGTTGCCAGCCAGAGTTTCTCGTCGTTAATTCTTTCTGGCCGGCCGGCCATTTGATCTTCAGTATGGAGCTGGCGAAGGCAGCTGTTGGTAACAGTCTGCAACTGCCTGTTGGAAATGCTTTGCGTGACACGCAGTGCAAGTTTCTGACCCGCATAGAAGAAATGACTGACTGACCTCATATTCGTGTTGAAAATCCGAATTTTGTTCTTTATGCTGAGGTGGAGTGCAAAAGATTTCCAAACTAGTTACAGGTCAATGAAGGCGTGGTTGAAACCGTGATCCCTGGCCAAATAAGTGAAGGAAGTAACCTCCGTTAAATCTTTCAAGTTGGTGCTGGTTGTTGTTGTTGCTGACAGTCGGTTGATTGTTTTCTGCATCACCTCCATCTTCTCTACGTGCACCTGGAGTCGTGTCTTCGCTATCAACCTCTCCACCAGTTTGTTGGTTTTCCCCTGTGACATTAAACATAAATCATCTGCGAAATCCAGATCTTCCAGTCATCTTTTTTTATTACAACTTGATTCCACACTGTATTTTTGGTACAAGTATGGAATTTTCGGCATGTAATATCGGTAGCCCAAATTCTGCAGGCCGATCATAGATATCAGGTGTGCGTCGGCAGGGGATCGAACCTCGGACCATGTGCATGGTCGGCGAGAGTCCTAACCACTGTGCCACCGATGTATTCATGTCTTTTCACTCCCTACAGTCTTCCACATAATCCCATTGTGGATCACCTGACATGTAGCGTTGTTATATAGCTTTTGAATGAGGTTGAATACATGAAATAGGGATGATTTAACAGGCCATATGCGAAGAACGAACGACGACTATACAATAGCTACAACTGATATTTTGTATGTATGTGTGTGTGTGTGTGTTGGAAGCATCGTCATCTAGTAAGTGATATTATTTAATTGTGTCACGTATATCCAGTAGATAAATTAATATAAAATCATATACTAACACAATGTATAAGTTTTGTAATATCCATCGTTAATACACTAACAGTTATGTAGAGACTAACATGATGTAATCAGCTCTGATCATTTAGAGCTTTAATCGTAGTCTTGATAACTCAAAGTGTCATATAAGTCTCACAACTTCTATGAACATCAATAGGAGATTTAATAGACTTGAGCCACATCTTAATCTCAGCCAAAAAGAGAAGCTTTTTAGAAGAAGAAAATATAGATTCAGTTTATAATCCAATCAGTTTTTAAAGTAAAAATGGAGTTTTATCTAAAGGATCCTACATATTCAGTCACAATTTCAGTATTAGTTAAACTGACATATTCAGAATATTATCACATTAAATGCTGAGATAGTAACTTCAATGCCATTAAGTCACATTGTGGTGTGTGGTACTGACAAGATTTCGTAAGTAGTATGTCGTGTGCATGATATTTCCGTGAAGAATAATGAACAACAGAGCGATAGATTAAGATGCAAGGAGATAAAATGGGAAATCCTAATGAAAGAATACACAAAAAGAATGAAAGAAAGATAAACGGGAAAAGACGTGCAAATGGAGACTTCAATGGGAGGGTCTCTGTATCTTTCTATCACTGGAGTACATTTCACCAGCTACACAATTCTGCTGCCAAAAACCAAAGGCGTTCCATTGTTACAGTATGATGATATGTATGCAAAATAAACTGTACAGCGTAACAGAGGTAGATAAACTAACTAACCTTTTGTTGCTGCTTCTTCGGAGTCGAATTCAACAAAAATTCGAACAACTTCATCATCCGGTGCTTCAGGTAATTCATAGATCATACACATTACAACTTTACCATATTTAGCACATTCTTCTGCTGTTTCAGGTTCTAGATCATCGTCTACTTCACCTGGACCACACATATTACGTAATAGGATAACCTAGAGTAATAATAGACAATAAAAGCACAAATACATTTTTGCGGTTTTAGAAATCATTTTTACAAAACAAACAACAACGAGAAACTACTTTAGTGGTATCCAATATTTATCCTAGTATGTACAAGAGAACGTCTAGATGAGCAAAGATGTTTCACTTTTTTCGGTGATTACTAGAGAGTTGAAGAGTGGACTAGGTAACTATGACTCCCTGAAGTTAGTCAAATAACTTGTCATCTAATTTCACCTGTGAATTCATTAGAAGCTCGCTCGTGGTCCATTATCAGACATGTCCTGTATGAGGTGATTGACGTGACACTCTGTGATCACCATATACTTTTCTAATATTCGCGTCTCTGTACATATATAAGCCAACTGTCTCGATTTGGCTACCTTGACATTGGTGGAGTGAAAACATTCCGCCGGGTGCTCTGAGTATCAACGTGAAAAAACTTATCTGGGTATGGGTAACGGCGGAAACCAAGAGGTGAGTTAAGCGTGGCAAACACCTCCTAGTGGCGACCGCCAAGGAGGGTTCTGCCCTCAAGCATGAAAAACATCCGATTCCGATTATCCTGCTCAAATGAACGGTGCCGAGAAATCCTACTGGGCTTTATGCCAGAAACGGGGCTCCGGAGGACCGAGATCTATGGAAGTTTGGACGAGAGGGCTGATACCGTCGTAACATGTGAATCACGGTTAGCGAATGGTCGTGAATGGCATGAAATTCCTATCACGGACTGCTGGAAAGATCTTCCCCATGACGGCCAGTCACAAGAGGTGTTTTACGCAGTGGGGAAGTGGATTGGAGGTCGGGACCTCGTTTCCATAAGGCAGAATAGGCTGTCTCCAGTGCGCAAGAGTCCCTGCTTAGATGCTGGTGGGGACGCTCACAGACTGTTCTGGGACGTGAGAAGCAACGTCTCAGTAGTTTGTCCGGAGACTGTATCAGTCACCGGAGCAGCTTGCATAGCAACACAAGGTAAACAGAAATAGAATATAAATAGATACCCTGCGTATCTGATTTTCTTGGCATTAACAGTAAACCTATAGATGACGTGGGTGAAATTACAATATACACCACAGTACAAAACTCATTTAGTTATAGTGAACAGAAAATCCAACCAAAAATTACTAGCATATTTTTATTCCTTTGCGTTCCGAGTGAAACATAGGGCTTCCAGCTTGGGCTTTTGAAGTTTCAGTTGCAGTGGTGTTTTTTACGCGATGAGGTTTCTAGACTCCCAACCCAACCTTCGCGTTTTCTGGGTTTACTACCGAATTGTGGTTTGGACAAGGTTTATAAGTGCATCAACCGGAAATCAAACCCTAGACCACTTGTGTGGTTGGCAGGCATTCCACCGCTCAACTACCAACGCACAACTACAATTAGTAACTTTGTATCAAATGACAAGCGATTACACTAATGAAACTGATTACATAAAAGCCAAATGAATACAAACAACGAAACTTCGAATAGATGTTAATTAGCAAACAAAAATATATAGTAAACAACTGTATCCTTCACAAAAAGGCAAACTGTTATAAAATTTTCTTATAATGTAAACAGATTTATCGATTTATCTGTCTTATCATCATAAAAGATAAACATTTGTAGGCAATATGTTTAGAATGAAAGTAGGAAATACTGAGAGCCGATAAGCCTATTTATTAAAGAAAACGACTCGCTTATTTTGCTTGTTAAACATCGAATAGGAGTTTATTACACTAAATATGCCAATTACATATATATTTTCCCTACAATTAACAACTTTTTGATCATTTATACTACTTGATTTGAACTGACACTTCATTTGCTTCAACGCATAGCTTTATGATGATGGAAGCGTTGGCTGAGTTTGGCGTACCACATGTCCCTGTCTGCAACGGAATAATTGTTTGAACGATCTGATTACAATATTGATAATTACTTGGACGTTTCAACTAATTTGTAATTATTATCCGGTTTTCTCCTACACAGTATACACTGTTCGGATATTTGCATATCAAATGTTGACTTGACCCTTATATTATTTCAAGTATTGGTTTGTAGGGATTTGGTTGATTGGTTACAGGATTTCATCATGAGCTGACATTAGTTAGAGAACCATTGGAAAACCTGGGAGTACTGGACAGCTGTTTCGTCCTAGTTTGGGACCCTTCAAAAGTACGCACCCACCGGGATTCGAACCCAGGACCTCCCGGTTACAAGGCGAGCTCGTATACCATTAAACCACTGGGACTCAATCCAATGGCCCACGAATTCTAACTTCTGCCAATTCACGATATAGCACAACCGCTAGCTAATGTCTTCGGCGAGTATTTGTCGTCACACTCGACCTGCTGCACCCTACTGGTCACGGCTTCCCACTGGAACCCCAGGTAATTACCTACCTGAATAGGGCCAGTCGCCAGTGAGCATCTCATTGGTATTCAAGTATTGGTTTGTAGGGATTTGGTTGATTGGTTACGAGACCTTATATTATTTGTCTTTGTTCCTGCTTAATACCTAATTTTTGTGCTTCTCATCATGGTTGTGCAATACATTGACAATGTGTTGTTTTACGATGTGATTTTGTTTGAATGAATCAAGGTGATTCTAACATTGGACTGTTTGAGGGAATTGTTGACGTATGACTCTTGCTGACAGTTTTCATCTCACTGTGTTGGGAATATTCTAATTGTTTCCAGGGTACCCATTACGGCTGAATTTAGATCAACAAATTTTGTACTACAGTATATGTTTTGTACATAGAAAGTTACATTGTCTGCAGAGCTGCTTAATGGCACTATTGAGGTAATTTTGTGTTTTTGATGTTACTATTGTTGAGCAGAACAACATAGATGTAACCACGAATAACAGTCTTTTTGCTGTCTTCGGAGAGCTTCGTGACTGTGTGTCTCTCAAAAAAGTTTCGGATAGCTATACAATAAGATGCAAAGATCAGTTCCCTGCGTTCAGGCCATAACAATTCAGTTTTGTTTGTCACAATGTCATCTTAATCGATGTAGCTATGCTGCTTCGTCAATTGATTTTCCCTCCTTACCTAACACTCTACGCCTAACCTCAATATTACTCACCATATTATACCACTCAATACGGAAGATAGAACGTAAACATCTATGGTGGAAGGTAGGTAGTCTCTTCGGGTCTTCCACTTCCAGTGGCTATGTCTCACAGGCATAAAGAAAGACACCCCGTTTGATCGATGGCTGGATGACTACATCTAAGCCAGTGATGACGAAGGCTGATAGATGTCATAAAAGATAAACCTCAGGTAGCCAATAAAAACCCGAAATAATAAATGCGAATGCGTGTGAAAACTTATCAGGTGCGCTGTATGCGCCTATACATGTCTGGTTGTCTATAATGTCAACAAAAATAATTCAAAATGACAGAGGAATAATTTTTCTAAATCTAATCTTATCTACCCTAATAAGTCACGGATGACAAGCATGAGAAAAATTGACGACATTCTGTTTACAAATAGTCATTTATTCCTAGGATTGATTTCCAATTAATACTGATTAGACATATTAGAGATTTCTACTTTATTATAATACTTTCCAAAATGAAAATTAGTGATTCGTTAAATAGTATTATTTATTCTACTTCATGTGAGATCCGGATATAGGGTCAGGCTGGAAAAAAGCTAGCGGTGGTCAAACAAAAACATGGCTGCACCAGTCAATGAAATCCACAACAGTTGGTCTAAGCCACGTAGGAAGGTGTAGACTTCCAGGCTGGGGTCCTCGGGACGGTAAAAATCTATGGTTGGAAACAATTGGTGATATGGCTCAAAATCGTTCTCAGTGGCGCAGATGCATCCACTCCTTGTGACTTATGATCTCCAATGAAACTGTTTTGTATTTCTTTATTACTCCTTTGTCTCACACCTCTGCTCACTGTTTCTATTATGCTTTTCTTGTACTTTCTTCTCTTGCTTTGTGTGCTACAAGGAGGGAGTGTGGCGACTTGAACTTCCGCACATTTGTGCAAAGTTCTATGTCGAAAACAGACAGACAGACAGGATTATTTTTAATTCTACGGAAATCATAAATTAAGCTAACACAAACAATGAATGGACACCGGATTTCTATCCCCTAAAAGTCCCACATGCTGAGGACGGTTACCTAAATCGATTTATTGATAAAGACACAAAGAATGAAAACAATCTCAACCGGTCAAACATCGTTTTTGTAAATCAGTCAGTCAAAAGTTGTTTGCAGAAGAATTCCACTTGGACTTCACCAGACCTTAGTTGTTCACTTGTCTGGCCGCCACCATATGCATATATCAATTCACTTGCTTTTATTGAGTAAGGTACATCGGCCATAGCGGAGGAATTCTCTCCACACTGAATAAGACAGTACACATTCTAGTATATTCTTAACAGTGTAAAAGGGATAATGTGAGGAGTTCTATTCTAGAACACTTGATCGACTTTTGTCACTCAATCGACCCTGACCATGATTTTACGATCACCTAATGAATTCATGCTAACATAACCCCGTTTCTTTTTCCTTTTCTTCTTCTTCCCAAAATTCTAAAGACAGAGTAGGTTTTGTCCATTCATAAATTCAAGCCAGACCTTTGTGGAAAAAAGCAGTATGCACAGTCCATAATCTTACTTTGGCCATAGAGTAATACACTTTTATTTATTACGATTATCATCACTTTTATTTTTACTTTGAACAGTTTCCTTCCTTACTTCGCTTATCTCAATAATCATTTTAGATCAACATATTTTTCGCAACGTTATGATTTATCTTATCTAACTTCCCACCATGTTACGTAATGCTTCATTTGCCTAGTAATCCTATTAATTTTAAATCCCCTTCAAAGATCTATGCTGTCTATGAATTATTTCTATATGTGGCATTATTTGTTTTGCCACTTGATATTAAACTATGGATACAATCGCAAACATTTTATCGTATTTCACATTATTATCATAAAGTATTCGCACCTCTTGTTGAAATTTTCTCACGGCGAATAGTTTCTTCAAGAAAATCATATACAAAAGATTGTAAGGCTGGCTTGATAATAAATTGATTGAAAAGAGTCTCTTCGATGAATGTTGGGTTCTTAACGTTCCAATGGGAATTATGCGGAATTTTAATGAAATAAGTGTATTTGGAATTGATAGTGTTCTCTGAGCTCCTTGGTAGTAGAATACTACAATAAATTATGCCTCAATGCTTTTTAGGTGGTTCAGAGACTTGGCGCATCGCCATAAGCAATTTCAAACAGGCTACTGCAGACTTATATCAGACAACTGAGCCTTCGCTTGATACTGAAGATCAGATGGTCAGCAAGGGTAAGTAATATGGAACTCTATTAACGAAATAACCAAGGACCTATTGTCCAAGAAATATGCGGAAGTAAATGAAGATGTATAGGACGCATGCTGAGGAGACCGTTGAGTGATATCAAGCTCCAACACTTCGAGTGGAACCCACATGGGAAAACGGTGATTTGGGTATTTGGAGGTGACATGAAGCGAATGAGAGTTTATGGGCAATCGTGCACCCAACTGAAAAGGTCTGTAGAGAACAGGATGAAATGGAGATGTGATGTTGAAGCCCTATGTTCTCTTCGGAAACCAGGGAAATAGTAATAAAAATATATCTTGACATTAAAACAAACAAACAAACAAGGATTACTTACGCAACTACGATGTTCTGGTAAAGGTAGACTATTAAATGTTTCTTCAACATTTGGATTTAAATAATTCGGCAAATTGGAATTATTATTACCAGTCGGAGGATTTGTTTGTTGTTGACGTTGTTGATCTTTCTCGTGAATAATTTTACCACCACGTCGACTAGTTTTCTCAACGACTAATGCAGTAGACATGCCTTGACTTTCTCTGCCCAAACCTTGACCTTCTCGATAACCCATTTTAGCCATCATTTTTGCGGCAACAACATTACTGTTAAAGGGGAAACAAATGATACGAGAAAGATGGATAATGACATTGACCAAAAAACAGATCATAGGATAGAATGATAAACATTTAGAAATGAGAAATACATTGACCGAGGTTTAAAAGTTGTTCCTAATAACATATTCACTTGTTGCTAGACAACTGGAGGCAGTCAGTAGGAAACACTGAACCTAGGTTTCATGCTTGCTGGTATTCGTAAGCAAGGTGTCGCTGTAATCATTGAAGGAACTCATGTCCCTTCTGAGGTTCGAACGCAGGCAATTGACTTTCTGTAGGAATATGATGGATATATTTTGACAGGACACTAATGTCACATAAATAGTCCTTACTTTGGTGCAGACTATATTCTATTAATCAAGTGATACCAAGTCACTTAACATGGTGGCCACCGTCGAATTGACTGATAGAATTCGATCCGTACCAAACTAAGGACTAGAGGTATGAAATTAGTTACTACCCCTAGTGTCCAATTAGAAAAACAAGTTTCGATAAAGAAAGGAAGACGAAGTTTTCAGTATAAAATAATATCATTTCATTTCACAGGTTCTCATCAGCTGCAGACTACCTGAAATTACAATGGTTTTATAGATGATAATAACATACTTTAATGTTTGAGTGGTGGTAGAGAAGACATACTATAAAATTGACGCATCTAAATGAAAGCATTACAATTTATTTTAGGTTAAGTTTTCATCATCAATTTATACGCTTTTTAAAGTTGATGAAAACTTAACCTAAAATAAATTGTAATGCTTTCATTTAGATGCGTCAATTTTATAGTATGTCTTCTCTACCACCACTCAAACATTAAAGTATGTTATTATCATCTATAAAACCATTGTAATTTCAGGTAGTCTGCAGCTGATGAGAACCTGTGAAATGAAATGATATTATTTTATACTGAAAACTTCGTCTTCCTTTCTTTATCGAAATTTATCAAGGGAACCAAATGTAAAAATAAGTTTGTTTTTCCACCTACAAAGAATTCACACGAAAGGAGCTGCCTTCATTACCGATTAGTAACCTGAATTCCAACATAACTAAACCCATTTAAACGCCTCAACTCTCATCTAGTTTTCAATGCGTCAAAAGACACTACCATGAAAAGAAAGCACACAGTGGTAGCGTTATAATATTTAGCATTTAACAGAATTTATCTTTCAACATAAATCACTGAGTGACATCAGTTGGAATATTACTGAAAACAAAGACTCACTGAGTAGCTCTTTCGTTCAAATTAGGAACTCTTCACAGTACGGACTCACGATTCCACTGAGAAAACCAACCGATGGTATTCATGTTACGAGGCGAGCCTGTTAGCCATTCAGTCACCAGGATGGGATCCAATAGCCTAACCATGAATTTTAACTTTGGCTAATTCGTGATATATAATGCCACCGACAGCCAATATCACCCACCGGTGAGTATTTCTCTTTAAACCTAAACTATGAGATTCCACTAGTTATTGATTCTCACAACAACTCCAAATAGCCTCATTCTGTAGTCATTCACTAGTAAGCAGTAAACTAATCCTCAAGTTTCGATTATGGGGGAATTTAACTAATTTCGATTCACGTCATGAACTAACATCAAAATAAGTAATGCTTTTTAAAATGTTCCGTCTAGATGAAACAGTGATATGCACCAGCGGCTGAGTAGGGCGGACAAAGCGGAAAAATACGAACCAAGAAGTTTAAATTAGCAAGATAAAACAACATGGATACTAAGAGTTACCACCACCAGTGCATATCAACTGTGAGCATTTGTCCTTGAACGTGACTAAAACGTGTTTCTCTAGGTGGTATCAGTTTGTGATTTAACTTGAAATCAATCAAATCCCTTTGAATCACCACTTGAGAATTATCTGTTTTCTCGTTTCAATGTCAGGTTAGTGATATTCACAGGAACTAAGAGATTCAGACGTTCTTTCAGTCAATTTGATAACTCATGCAAGATAATTTTTTTGAAATTCAAAAAGACACCATATATAAAGTTAGTGTCTGCTCTGATCAAGGGAAAAAAAACATTCTTCCACAGCTGCGAGTGTACCAAAAAAAGAAGGTAAATAAGAAACGTACATTCCAAATTTGCTACTTGTCGCACTGACATCAGCGTCTTCAGCATTAGCCTGTGAATCAGAGTTCTGAGATCCATTTGTTCCAGGAGCGATAGTAACATCTTCTAGTAGAACAGATGGAGGTGCAATAGCTGCACCTTTAGTAGGTTGTGAAGAAGTCCTTCCACCAGAGGCAGCAGTGAAACCTTCACCTTCGTCTTCTTCATCGTCTGAATATTCGAAACGCCGACACATACCGGTAGGATCATTCATACCGAAAGGATCTAACCGATGATGTCTGTCAGCAAGTGCTGATTCCTAACAAGAAAAAAAGGCGAAAAACAAAAAAGATTAAGTAAACACGCTGAATTAGTTAGAAAATAAATAATACAGTGATTAATAGGAATTGATTAATGTGGAATAACCATATAATTAAACAATAAAAGAAGAAGCGTAAGTCAGGCGAATTTTTTATCCTGACGTAATCCATTGTCATGAGCTGTACACTAGAATAACCAAATAATTGCTTACTGTTATTCCAGAATAATGTGAATCTGTCATCCAAGATATTTCAAGTATTCTGAAACATATGTTGACTTCTGTTGCCTATCTTGGGAAGACAATGATGACTGTTTATTAGTACCAGAAAAAGATTGAGAAAAATTACAAATACGAAAACACTTTAACGATATGGTACTATACTGTAATTATTAAGCAAACTAATATTGCTAAAAATGTAAGGCAACTAAAATCGTACACCACTGTACAGTATTATTTACTGATGACATTTCAAGAACAATTTATTAGAATATGATAATGTAAACTGAAGCAAAATAAGATGGTAAATTATCTCTTATCCTCTGATTTGATTGGTAGAAGTATTTTCCATTTCTTTCGTATTGGTGCGTTGAGTCATTCCTATTGCGTGTGTAATCAACGTCTCTAGCTCTCTCTCTCTCTGCCGTTTTTCACCTACGCATATTACTGTTTCGAATTGTAACTCTGTGCCATCCTATGCTTTTTTTTCTTCTAATTTATTCATCTTCGGGGAGGCAATCATTCCACACTTGACTAAATTCTTATTTTCTGACAATCTGATTACCCTTAATCTACTAGTTTGACGTCGTAGTCACTGCAAGGTATTTTGTAAAATACATTATTTTGTCTAATTGGTTCGGTAGGGTTCTTTAGCCTACACACAGTTTGCTTCTGAGTGAGTGTGTCAGTTTTATAGTCATTCTAATTCCGACTCTATTAGTATTTCTATGTAGGGCTTAAGACGTTGCCAACTTATATGGCAAAACTGTGGAATGCTTTAAATTCTTTTTTATTTCTGTAATTGTTACTAGTTTCACCGCTATTTTTTACTTTTTTTGTGGGTTTTTGTAATTTCATCTTATTTCTCACTTTAATGCATTCACATTTCCAAGTTCACCTAATCTTCCTATCATATCGATTTTACACATGTCTCTTGAACTTTATTTATCCATTCATATGTCTAATTAATTTGTAACTCATGTGTATAATGTTGCGTTAATTGCTTTGTTATGATTATGAGCAATGAATTGTGCTCGAAACGTGTTCATCAGTCAATAATACTGTGTGACTTTATCAAATAAATTTATACTACAACAGTGTGCAAGTTTTATTCTTATATCAATGAATTCATCTGCCCTAATTGAGGACGATTTTGAGCCATTTAACCAACGACTTCTAACCCTTGGTTCCCTTAACTTAACGTCTCGCCAACTCTAAACAGGTAGTCCACACCTCCCTGCATGGCTAAATCAAACTAATTTTTTTTCTTCACGTTCCCCAGTGGAACATAGGGCTTTAAGATAGTGGCTTGAAGTTTCTGTAGCAGTGGTGGTTATTTTTACAGTATGAGGTTGCTAGCCTCATGCCCAACCTTTCCTCTTTACCAGTCTCACTACTGGCTTAGCGAGGTAAAGGAGTGAGTCGGCCGGGGATCGAACCCCGGATTATGAGCATGGTCCTAACCGCTGTGCCACCGACGCCAAATCAAACTAATAGTTGTTGTGAATTACAAACTTCTTTCAAAAAAGCCGAAAATATATCATCGACAATAAATAATATACGCAGGCGGGCGGGGGAAGGGGGTAAAGTTAACACTGCATGAGTATGAGTAAATTTAAAGCAATTTTTTAACTATTAATTAAAATAAGTGAGTGAGTACACTTTTCTTCTTTATGAAAGGAAAAGCCTACTTATAACACAGATAATAACTAATCAGACAAAAAGAAAGCAATAAAATAAATGGTTACTATAGTAAAACAAATATTATGACGTCACAATCATTGTAAATTATAAAAAAAGGTTTGTTTAACTAAAAGTATGAAAAACAAAATAGAAAAAAAGGAACTTGGCGTAATAGTCAAGTAGGCTGTTGTAATCATTACTTAGTTACCCATAACAATCATAATAGTAATAATAATAATAATAAAGTAGTTATAACAATTGAAGTACTCCAGAATGCTTATGAAGTACTAAAAACCATGCAGACTAATGAATTAATATCCAGTAAAACAATAATAAAGACGTAATTTATGACATTCTTGTAATGCCATGCATTTGCGGAACACATTTTCAATAATCTGATCACAAACACGCACATACACACACTCACATACATGTACTTGTCAAAGAAATTTGTACTGAGAATAAACATAAATATGCATACTGAAAGTCCACATTGAAGGATAAAATAAATAAACGATGCAGATCAATAAACCATTAAAGAGAGGCTGACGGGGTGGGGTGAGGGGTAACAACCGCACATGAATCCGAGTATCAAAAGAAAATTTATCAATTTAACTGCTCCTGTGGAATGAGTCAGTTACAAAGGCCGCACAATTTAGGCGTGTTTCTCGTCGAATTTCCGAACATCACCCCGTGTGGTTAAGCAAAGGTCAAACAAAATCCATTCGTAGCGCTATTCTGTCTCATCTTGTGGAAACAGAACACAAGATTGACGTTAACCATGCTTTCAGAGTCATTTACCGCATACCTACGAATCTCAATTTTGCCTTAAGATTTCGACTACTAAATATTGCTGAGGTTGTGGGGATCCACATTAACAAGGCTTATTTGGGCGTCCAAAAGAAGTTAGTCCAGACACTGTCCCTACCTTGGCCATCTAGGTTTGAATGATCCTCAATTTTCGTGAAAATTTCCTAATTTTAGTTGATATCCTACTCGCTATTATATCTTTATTACTATTATAATTTAAGTATTTTTAGTGAACTGTAATTGCATTGATCATACTTTACAAATCGATATTATTTAAAAAACACCAATATTCTTATTAACTACTGATCTTGAATATTTTGTGTATATAAATGCATATGTAATTGTAGACCCAGAAGAAGAAATTATCTAAAAGGATATTCTTTGCTCAATTATTTTGTATTTTAAAAAAGTTCTTTTTCTTTTAATGCGGTAAACACAAAGGTTGGTGTATAACTGACGAATGACTGGAACTTCCTCAAACTTTAAGATATACTAAAGCTACGTTTTACAGACAGATTAGAAAGATCAACTTTATTTATGCCCTGTATCTGTTGAATATTTACCAATAGAAGTGTGTCAGGATAGGCGAGTTTCTTTTTTGGCCGTGGAGTCATGACTTATGTATGTACTGGCAAGATAACTACATTAGACAGTTGTGATTCGTTTATTTATGGCTAAATTTTTTGAGTTCAGACAACCAGTCAGAATTGTTTATTTGTGCCTACATTTCTGAGGCTTTGTTAAGTATAATAGAGAAGATTTGTAGCTCAGGTGGATGATTTGCAATGAACAGTGTTCTCTGAGCTGGTTCGTTGTTAATATAATACACTACGCATTTTGTGTACTAACCATTGTTGCAGTTGTTGTTGTCGTCGTTTCCATCATCGTTTTTCTCAGTCTATGTTTATCTTAGTGTGGAAGATAATTTCGTGCAATCAGTTGGTTATAGTATCGTGTTCTAGAGGTGCATATACTAGTCAAACTAAACAAACCCACAACCTAGTATCACTCCATAATAATGAAGCACTACGTTGTCTGTTTTCAGCATTTTTGGAATCGAGGGATACAAATTGTTTATCAAGTAGCTGCTTAGAGGTTGTCTTGGAGCCCTTACTTGAAAAATTCGATGAGTCCATCCTCATATACAAAAAATCAAAAGACTCAAAATGAAAATATTTAAAATGAGTGATAAAATAATGTTTGAAAAATGAAAAAACAAAATAAAGATCATTTATATGTACTTGTACAATAATAATAATAATCTACTCAAATATAAATGTTCATGCAATGGATTTTTAAGCCATAACAACATTCAATGAAAGACACATTCAGCTGTGTAAACAAAACAACAACAACAAAAAGAAAAGACCCACATGAAGGTGCGTCACAAAAGTCTCAAGGATTGATAGGTGTTGGTTTGCAGGAATTTTTTATTGGTTACACATGTCTTATCACAAGCTGACATCATTTAGAAAACTAAGGATGAGTACTGGGGCAGTTATTTCCTCCCATCTATAGACTGTTAGGCAATAGACATTCACCCGCATTCCAATCCTGATGGCTGTGTACTGCCGAAGAGTCTTAAACTAGGAAAAAACAACTGTCCAGTTAATTTTAATGACTCATACAACTATGTAAGTATCTATCATAGAAGATAACCTTAAAACTAATATATTATGGCAATATAACATTTATTTAGTAACGTCTATCTATTCTCTACATTGTTATTAAAAATCGTCTAAGCTTTCCATCAAACAAACTGGCACCGATTTACAATTGACTCATACAATGTCACTCAGTAATACATTTGACAACACATTCCATCTATTGTATGATGGAGGGGAGGGGGGAGGCTCCAATCCATGAATGTCAAGCGGCTAATATGATAAACCATAACTTGTGGAATAGATTGTCGGCTTAGACAGTGAAATAGTTTTTAAATCACCTGAGAATTAGTACATCACACGGGGAAAAAGTATGGATATTACCAACTCCTCTGCATGATTTGCCAGTTTTCAAGCAGCTTGTAAAATGTGACAGGCTAAATCAGGTGGATTAAAGATACAATAAGAGTCCATTGAGTGGATGCCACTTTATATGTCAACAATATACATTCACAATGATATTTTTCTCTGATTTGGAATAAACCACAGTTTATCAGCGAAGAGAATTTTCTTTCAGGATTTCATCATGAGCTGACATTAGTTAGAGAACCATTGGAAAACCTGGGAGTACTGGACAGCTGTTTCGTCGGCCTAGTTTGGGACTCTTCATCGGTATGCACCCATTGGGATTCGAACCCACGACCTTCCGGTTACAAGGCGAGCTCGTGTACCATTAAGCCACTGGGACCCGATCCAATTTTCTTTACCGACAAAATCATCTTCAAAAGTATATACAATCGTACTAATATTTACTAAACAGTATATAACCGTCTATTATTCAGTAAAAAAAGCCGTATATACGTGAAATAATTGATACAGTTACTCAAAATTGGTTTCTAAAGATAAATAAATAAATTACGCAATAACCAATGACACAATGGAAGTAGCAAGCAAATACATATGGCGAAAATTGTCACTAGATAAGAGATAAAAAGTTGGTTGAGTATCCATTTGATAAATGAGAAGGTGAAGGGAAAAAAGATAGTAAAATGTAAAAAGAAAGGCATGTAAGAGTGACAATAATGAATTACTTTCTAAAAATAAGAGCTTACAAGTAAGAAGGAGTTAAAGATCATGGCATAAGAAGAGACTGAACAAACTTTTTCTGGACATAGATTTCAGGGTTGTGTTCAAAAATAGCCAGCACCTCAGCCACACAAGTGTTGGAAATAGACATCCCTTGAACCAATCGACCTTACCTTGTAAGATAATTTTTAAAGAGGATTCCAGTGGACCTGTATAGCCTGAATTTACTAGATGCTTGAGAATTTAGCTATTTATTGATTTGTATTGTTCTGCTGACAATATTCTGAGATGAGTTTGGAAAGTGTACCATGAGCAAGTGAACTGATGAACATACATTGAAGTGACCCAAAGCGGTATTTCGTCCTCTACACATCCCACTGATTATTTGTTGATTGTAGAAGTTGATACGTAGCTATTCCGGAAAAGGCGCTTTTCTTAGGCACCTGGAAGTTGGTTATTCAGGATCCAAGCCGTGGTATCAACCTTCAGTTTAGCATTCGTGGACAGTAATTAATTCGGTTCAGATATAGTTGTTTTAGCAGGTGACTTCAATGCCCAAGTAGGGAAGTTATGCCAGACTGAGATCGACAACGGCGATCGTCTTCTACAGTGCTGTCCAGATAATCATCTGTTCCTAATCAGAACCAGATACAGGGACAAAGATTGGATTTCTACCACCTCATACGAACTGATTGACGCAAGAACACTGATTCCGGCGAGCTCCGATTATGATGAGGAGCGAAAGGTGCTCAAAAGAAAACTAACAAGAAGTCTTCGTAACGACGGTGAACAGTGGTGGCCGATAAAAGCGAAAGAGATGGAAAAGGCGTCGGCGATTGGTAATATCAGACAACTATTTAGAATTATCAGGGAAACAGGTGAAGAAAGCCAAATGACAAGTGAAACAATCTCCGCGAAAAGTGGCACTATAATTGGTTCTCAGGATAGACGACTAGGACGATGGCGATGTTTGATTGTAAAAGGAATGCCAAGGAGATACGTCGCCCTGATCACGGGATTCTACTCGACCTCAAGCAACCAACCAGGTGAGAGGCTACGGAGGGAGAGTTGTCACCTGAAATGGTGACAACTAGTGGAGACCGTCAGGAATGCCCTGTCCCCATTTCTGTTTAATTTCACCACAGATGCACTAATGGACTTAATCCTAACTCAGTTCAGTGACTTAGAGATTGACTTACTACCGTCATCACTGATCGCATGATTGGTGCGAATGAAGAGTAGTTCAGGTTTCTTTCTTCTTGTTCTTTTTTTCTGGAGACCGATGTCCAAAAAGTACCTTCAGATTACTGTTTCGAAATGTTCAGAAAATCAAACTTAAAATTGATGCTGGATTTCGACGTGAAGTTGGTAGAATGGTGGCAGTTATTGAAACTTATTCTTTAGCATTTCGATGAAGGCATCTTTTATCCATAAGAACAGTCATAGCGCATCATGAGGTTAATCATTAGCATTCAAACTTGATCCCGGCCGACAACTGCTACCTTGCCATGGTGGTCGGGCTTGAATACCGCAGTGACCCAAGAAGCTAAACTGGCTGGGACTCATGTTCCTGCAGGTCCTATAATCTCAGGAAGGTTGTTTGGATAGCGGTTAGACTAAAAGCAGTTACCATGTGGTACATGGGCTCCAGAATCCAATCAGATCAAATGGCGTATGAACCCATACGGGTCACCGGAAACCATGGGAATGCAGCTCCTGACGCTGCTCCGCTGCCTTGCGGATTAGACTTCAAGTCAAAGGCTACGGAGGTGGTCCCTTAAGAAAACCACCTGCTTCGGTCTAGGCGCCCGAGCAGTATCTCAGCCCTCACACAACTTGTGTGGCGCGTCTTTCTTGGTACCATATTGTACCAAGTTTTTTCTGCGTTTAAATAAATAATAAAATAATATTCAGACTTGATATCTACAGGTAGAGAACTCAATGACAACTCTGTTTTACCACTCCGCCTTTTTGTTTGTGTAGTTTCACTGGAGTTGACCTTGGTGTTAAAATTCCACCTCAGCAATAGTTCTTTTAAGTAATGAACAAAAACAACCGCATCCAAATTATAATCATCAATGCATCTGAATAGTAAGAAAATTGTTTAAGGTGAGCACGATATTGGTGAGAAGAGAGGTAACATTCAGGGACATCAATTGGGACCACTCGTTAAATGATAGAATTCAAATGAATCCGATACATTGTGATGATTGAGGTTGCTTATGAAGAATGTCTGCCGGCTATTTAGCAATAGCATTGTGAATTTTTACGTTTAAGATTAGGTATCCACTGATGATAGCTATTCAACGTTATCGAATTGATTTCTTCAAATGTTTCATTCGAAACTGGAGGTTCACTTGTCTGACAGATCAATCCTTCAAACTGGACTTTTATAACCAAGTCATTCTAATTTGTCGTCATGTTACATAATTCTTGATGAATTCAAAATTCTGTTCACCTTCTAACAGACAATTCGAAGATGCCTATCTTTTCATCTCCAATGAGTGATTGAGATATTATTTCACTGAGTACATCATTTAATATGTGTGATGTTTTAAAGAACGATGATTTACGTGAATACCATAAGGTTTCGAATATCCTTTCTTATCTCGATAACTCTTCAGAGGGGACGAATTCTCTTATTTTCTACGGTAGACTTGAAACCCCTTCCCCCACTCCCGGAATGCTTAAAACAGGAGTATCATAGGTCTATTTTTACAATTGTTCAGCCCTTGAAGACGACTTTTTTGAATGATATAGTTATTTTAAGCAATATATATCTGATACCAAGGATATATAAATTTGCATGCAGAAAAATAGATGAGGGGATGATAGAAAACACCGGCAATTTTCTTGTCTGACTTTTATATATAAAATAAATTTATTTACCTCAGCACGTCTGCGTTCACGTTTAATACGTGCTAATTCTTCATACTCATTTGGAATTAAAGGATTATATTCGTCTGATACACCCAAAGGTAAATTAGGCTCTCCAAATAAAAGACCATTTGTCATAGCTGCATTAGAGTATTTCAATGAACGTTTAGATTTACCTCCAGTAGTTCCTGATGAACATCGTTCTAGCCGTCCAGTTAACTGATTGAATCTAAATTATTATATAATAATATTGGAATAAGAGAATAATAGTTTTTGAAACAACAAAACAAACTAACTGAAGGACACACCAAAAGCTGTGGAAAGCGATGAGTGTTAGACAGCCAAACAAAAATTGTTAAGTATCATACAGAAAAATGATGAAGATGAAGGTTATCATCCTAGAGGCACTTTAAACAACATACAAAAGATCTATGTCAGATATTAATTTATTTTGAAAAAATTGATATTTTCTGAGGAAAAACTCACTTTATAACTCAAAGCCCCATCTCAAACATAAAGATCAGTCCAAGAAATACTACTTTATATGAACTGGTCAAGATCACAGTAAAACTGACCATGTGAAGTAATACTACTTTAACTTCGTTAACAAAGATTAGTCTTTATTCTTAAGTTTTTTCTCTTTTTATTTCTTGCGTTCCAAGTGCAATATACGGCCTTGGAATTTCAATGGCAATCATATTAATTTAATGGGGTAAGATTGGTAGTCTCATATCTAAGCTTCCCTCTTTTTATAGATTTCTATCGTGGCTAGTAAGATAGGTGAGGTTTAGGAGTGCGTTGACTGGGAATCGAATCCGGTTACGTGTGTGTTTGGTGAGTATTCTACCAGGAAGCCGCCGACGCACGGTACAAATTACCACCCACCTCCTCGTTAAATTATATATATATATATATGGTAGGCCTAAGACTGAATTAAACATTTAGGTTAGGATATTTAAGAAATAAGATAACCGATACGCTGAGATTGAGACCGCTTAGTGCACAGATCAGATTAAACTTTAAAAAATCACCGACAAATTATCACACTACAGACGAAACAAAATATCCTGATGTTATAAATTGCAAAAAACACTCTCTTTTCAAATAAAACGAATTGTTATTCCCGTTATTATTCAGGAAGATTATATGCATAGGTGGTGGTCAAACAAACTCATAAACTTCAAAATGGAATGTACAGTTAAGAGAAATAACAATGAATACAGATAAATATCCCTTTAAACATGATAGCGGAAAAGGAAGTTTAAATTTCAGTGGGGTAAATGGGCTAATGTTTGAGTGGAAAAAAGATACTGGGTACACACAGACACACACACACGCACAATGAGTTAAAGATGATGAATACACTCGCACAAAAATGGCACTCAAGCAAAAAGTACAGAGGTTAGCGACATTAAAGTAACTACAAAATAGAGGTAATAAATCGGTTATTCTAAAAAACTGGAAAAATGTATGATTAGAGCTCCAGATAGTAAACAAAAATGTATCATTACCTGTATTTGCTAGGTAAAAATTTTGATTACTATAATACTGCTTATCAGTATTTACAAAGGAATATCATTAACGTCAAGATTTTTATTTAAAATATCATTTAAAAAGAATATCCTTTGTGCTCTAAGAACACTATAGTGTCCCTTTAGATAATCGCACCAAATAACTAATAGATATATTCAAATTTTATCAGTATCTCGAACTTATTACTTTGCAATTCTTTAAGACCTCCACTCTAAATTTTCGACGAAAACCTGTTTCTACGTATTTGTTCAAGTTACTTTGTATTTAGCGTTGGTTGATTTGTATTGTGCTGAAATACCTCGGTATCTGTTGACATGTGCCGGTTCCTGGTACACAGCCTAGTGGATAACATCAATATGGTGTTTGAAACGATAGGAGTTGAGTGCCAGTCGTACTGGGGACACAATAACTCAAGTAGAGATGCAGGCTACATCTAGCTGAAGAAATATGCATCCTGAATTTTTCTATAAAGCCATCATCAAACAAATAAGAATACAAGCCTCGTTTATTTTGTCGTTAGTTATGCAAAAGCTTATTGTTTCAATCAGTATTAAATCTACCAATCTTTTACGCATCTGATAATCAGAATGTAAACGCAAAAATTTATGGACATTACAGTCTAAAACAGTCATATATCCGAAATAAAACATATTAATGCAAAAGGAACTTCCACTCGACAATTAATCATCACTACAAAAAACAGCATGCTATAACAACTCAGTAATGTTTATTCAGTACTAAGAATTAAACACAGAAAATCAGAAGACCAAAATATGTTTCTTTTACTTAAATCCTACTGACTGACTCAGTTTCAACATAGAACCCTGCACAAAAATACAACAGTTCAATTTGCCAGACTTCATGTAGCACACTGAGATAGACAAAGGAGAAAAAGGAGTATAATACACAGAAAAATGAAGGAGAAATAATAATAATAAAATGCAAAAATATGATGCTTTAAGTGGATAAGAGGGATGGATTCTAGACAGCGAACGTATTTGCGCGCAATTCAGCGAAAACGATTTTGAGCCATATCACCAATATTTTCAAAGCCAGTGGTTTTTAGCATCGTATGATTAACCAAACACTGGATCTTGGTCAACATCAAAGACTAGACAGTTAGGCCGGTTATTATTTTGACTACTAAGTTCGACAGATGCTCAGACTCTAACATTAATGAAATCTAAACACCACAAAGTCTGAATAAATAACATAGCACTGGAATAAACAGGTTAAATAATAGTATGATATTAACACGATTAGACTATGACTTTATTCTACTACGTTTACTAGTCCATTTGAACTAAAGTGATATGAGAATTTCTGAAATGACCAAAGGCGGATATATATATATATATGCATGAATTCAAGCAGACTTTTGATTTGTTACGATTTTCAAGGTATAGATAGGGAAGTCATTAGGAACCTATGTGAACTTTTGAAGAAAAAGATGCTTCCAAGTATTGGATTGCAAGCATTCGATTGATTTTGTGTTTGGTCACGAATTACCTTTAGTTAGAGAGCCGTCAAAGGACGCAGAATACTAGACAGATGTCTTATCCTAGTTTGGGGCTCTTCACCAGTATGCATTCACCAAGGATCGAATCTAAGACTTTCAGGTAACTAAGGTAATCAAGTTCATTACCCAGCCACTGGAATGGAATCTGAGGGATTGTGAGAATTTTAACTTCTGTGAGTTTGCGACATATAGTGCAACTGTCAGCCGATCACACTGACGATTATTTTTCCTATGATAAGCAACTAGGACTCCACAGTGCCCAAGTTTTATTCTTATAAGAAACTAAGATCGTGAAATTCATGTCTGCTACATATGTGTAGTCTATTAAGGATGTATCAACCAAACGTTTTAATGAGACTGACAGTTTATAAAAAATCGTGTTGTGACTAAACTTGTCAATTAGGAGTAATTCCTCAGAAGTTGACAGTGCAAAACTTAAAAACAGGTTCGTATTTCGACAACACAATAAGAAATGTAGATTATATGAAACGTGTAATGTATTTGCGCAACACATTTCGGGCATTCTGATCACACAGGTACTTGTCATACATACACAGCTTTATAGAAGGCGAGAAATCATGATTACAATACAGGTCAGACTGTGTATATTTCAAGGTAACAAATGATGGATAGGGATTCAACCAGCTCCCAAAAAAATTGTTTACATATCCTTGTTGTTCAAAGGTGATCTTCAAAGTCTGGTCAATGAACAAAGACTCAAGGCGGCAATTAATAGAAATGACTATGCAGGTAAACTTATCTTCATAGAGAAGATGAAATTTATGCTGTCCTGTACACCCTTACAGCATTCGAACGATAGTGTCACACACCATTGTGTTTATCAATTTACTTGTATGTGTGGACGCACGTACATAGGGATGATCCGTAGTTCTCTACAGAACATATCCCAAAGTGGCTGCAACAACAAATAAAATTACCGGATACAATCGATCCAGGAAATAGGTGTCCGACACCATCTATAGCGAAGTACACTATAGAGGCGGTCATAAGGTTGATTTCAATAATGCCTTTAAACTCATATACTAAACAAGGTTGGGTCACATGCTTGAATTCGTTGAAGCATTAGCAATAAAAAACTTAAACCTGTCTGTCTAATGTGTCCAAAAGTTATTTGTTATTACTTTAAACCTGTAGGGTAACCCAATTTAGAACTAAGGTTCAATTTACTCCATAATATTTTCAACCCCTTCTTTGTTTTTCTTTCTTCCTTATCGATACCTTTACGTTATCTCCCTACCCATTATTTGTGACCTTGACCTGTGTGATTAGAATGTCCGAAGTGTGTTGTGCAAATACATTACGCGTTTCATATAATCTACGTTTTCTTATTGTGATGTCGGAATTCATAAAGGGGACTAATTGCTTTAAAGATTCGTAGTTCCTTGGAACGAAATAAAAATTGTCTAAGAAAGTGTCCAAAAATTCATCTGCAATAGCAACAACATAATAGAGTAGTAGTTGTAGTAGTAGACAGTCATTTATACTGTCCCTGAGCGAATATATCTTGATAAATAACCTTGTGCGAACCAGTTTGAAACATCAGAATATGTTCATAACATTAAAAGCAAAACAAAAACGACTACTTAGAAGACATAATTTTCTTTTTAGCGAAGTCATCCTGTGCGATGTGCATTCGTGAATACAAAGCAAAAGGCGTGAAAATTTTTTTCGGTCAAAGGTCAAAATGGTGCGAATAATAAAGGTGAATTTACTTAATACAAATAGGGATTAAAACAAATGTTTTTTAAAAAGAAAAAGAATTCTGAAAAGTAGAAAGACTAGTTACGATGACCGTGGTAAAAGTGTTGGCTTATTTCAGTCTATATTTACATCATCACTGTAACTATTTACTACCTGTTGACCTTGACCGTAAATTGTTTCAGAACTTTCTCACCCGTTTAACAATATATATCAGGAATAGAAAGTAGAGTTTGAAACACAATAGATAAGATGACACTATATGACAGATGTGTTTTGTTTATTTGTCTGGTTTGATGGAGGATTTCATCATGAGCTGAAATCAGTTGAAGAACCACTGGAAAACCTGACTGTTGGATAGCTGTCTCGTCCTAGTTTGGGACTCTTCATCAGTACGTACCCACCGGTGTTCGAATCCAGGACCTTCTGGTTACAAGGCGAGCTCGTAGGCCATTAGG